GCCCTGCCAACGACTAACATCTAATCGTGAATAGGTTCTCTCTGCCCCAGTTCTCTTAACTGTAAAATGAGGTTAATAAGAGTGCTGGCCTCATAGGACTTTTATGAGTATAAAAAGGTGTAAATATTTATAGACCATTTAGAATAGAGTCTTGAACATAGTAAGTTCTTTGGTGGTCAAGAGTCCATCCTCCATCCCACGTTAAAAACAGCAGCTGTGTCCCTATCATCGCTGGATATTAAGGCTGAAACTGAAACAAACTTTTTCTAAACTGAGTAGTAATGAGACCCAAATGTTTACATGCTGTGGTTGAACCTCTGAATAATGTCCCTACAGAGAGTCATTATTCATAATTTGGGGAGAAGTAAGACAGTGTCCTAAGGTTACTTTTACCAATAACTTGTCATGTGGGCAAACTGCTTCCTAACCCCCAGTTTGCACACTTCTGAAACCACATTAAGATGCATGTGAGCAAGAAAGGGTGAGTTGCTCATTGAGAAAAAAACGTATTTTGAGGTTTTAGGCAAACTTTCCATAGAGGATTGATGCCAGGTTCTGTGCTCCAGATGGCCTCACTGGGTGAGCCAACAGCAAACGGGAAAACTGGCATCCTTCCAAGTGGACCCTGGGTCGCCAGTAATGAACCCCAGATGTACTTGCCTCCCTGCCTGGTCCCGTGTCTCTTCAGCCCGCTGGGGAGAAGGGGCTTCAGAAATCAGCGCCGGTGAACACATGCAGTGTGCAGCCCTGGCTGAGGGGTACAGCTGATGGCCTACCTGCTCCCACGCCCCGACGGTCACCGGGGATGGCTGAGCTGCTGTGGGCTGTGGTTTCTCAGTGACCCACACCATTGTGTGTTTGTTCTATGGGACTCGTGTGCAGAGAACTCAGGGGATTACCCTGCTGAGAAACCAGGCTCCTGACACCAAAAGATTCTTGTTCCTCCCTGGCAGTGCCACTAACTGCCACTTTTGCAAACGTCGCCTTTGAGATATGTCCAACCTGGAGTTTGGCCCGAGAGGCTGCAACCTGAGCAGAGCTTTGCCCCCCTGCTTGTGTAAGCTGGGGCCCACTCGGAGAAGGAGGCAAGGTGTCTTAGGACATGGCTGGCTCCAACTCTAGGTATTGGGCAGGGGGCAGGAGGACGGTGGGCCCCGAGCCATGGCCCGGGAGAGACCCCTCTCCTCGTCTGGCACTCCTCAGCCGGCGAGTGCCCAGGCTTTGCGCCAGCACCCCCACTCTGGCGCCCTGCTCTCACTTGGTCTCTCGTGACACACTCTCTACAGGCTGGCCTACAAGCATGTCATGGAAAAGTCAGCTCTTGGACTCCTTGTAGCTGAGCCAAAGCTCTGAACTCTAGAGATCCCTTTCAAAGAGACTTCCAGTAATGTACTCCAAGGGGCATGTGCCGAACAGGATGAGTTGGCGAGACCTAAAGAGATCTGGCTTATAGGCCTGGCCTCGTTGTCTCCCCAGGGTGAGCTGAGGGCTGACGTGCAGAGTCACCTGAGAAAAAGCCCTTGCTGCATTGCCTAACCTTATGTGTGGAAGTCTACCTACCAGACGAACTAGAGTTCTGCAAACTTCCTTTTTAAAGGACTCCACTCAAAGTTCAAATGTTATTTGTTTCAGAGCTTTGAGAAGAGAGCAAAGTTTCAGAATAGCTGCCATGTGCTGCCAGTATATGTATGTGACTTCATTATAAATTGTCTTTAGCAAATGCTTGGCTGACTGGTGAAGGGCTGGGAGGGTCTCAGGTGGGGCCGGTGCGGCTTGCAGTTTTGCTCAAGGCCGATGACGTGCAGCCACACGGTGGGAACCGGGTCAAATGATTTTTGTTCAGGGGTAACTGTGAGGGTAGAAATCATGAGTTCCTATCACTTTACCTTTCAGAACACATGTGCTTCTTGAGGTTGGTTTCATCAGCTCTGACCCACAGCTGGCTTAAGACAAAGAGGAGAGATGCTGCTCCATGGTTTATTCATGAAAGAAAGTCTAATTATTCATAGCAAGATGGCACTCCATAGCCAGTTTCAGAGACTTATTTCCTTTTTGTGGTTCAAGGAGCAGTCAAATTTGAGATCACCTCTTTCTTATTAGTAACTCTGGCCAAATGAGTATTTTTGAGTTAGTTGTCGATGTTCCTTAGCCATGTGACTGCAGCAACATTACTAGAATATAACTAAGGAGGGTGGACTATTCTGCCTGAGGCAGGGAATGGAAATTTTGAGACAATGCTCCTGAATTAAATTTGTTACAAAGTCTTACTGGCAGAGTCATAGAACCATGGGAATCAACTTGGGTAATAGTCATTTTCCACCACCTTCTCCTGATGTTAGGAGCCGTGCTCCAGCCACCAAAGACTTCTAGAGTAGTGCTTCTCAAATTTTAATAAGCATACACATCACCTGGGGGTCTTCAAGAATAAATTTTAAATTTTAGTAGGTGGGGCCTGAGATCTGCATTTCTAATAAGATCTCTGGTGATGTCGATGCTGCTGGTCATTGGATCACACTTTGAGTGACAAGCTTCCAGAACGGTCGTTCTCAAAGTATGGTGTACAGACCAGTAGTAGCATCACTGGGAAACCTGCTAGAAATGGAAATTTTGGGGCCTTACCTGTAGAATAAGAAACTCTGGGGCTGGGATCCTGTGGCTGGTTTTCTTAATTTTTAATTTTTTTATTTTTACAAGGCTTACAGGTGATTGATTCTGAGGCCTGTTCAAGTTTGAGAACCATGGGTCTACAAAATGAACTACCTGCCATCCTTTAGTGTAACAAACTCCAACACTTAACAACCCTTTACTGCTGAAAGGTCTCCCTTAGGTCTAGCCTCAAATCATTTTGTTTAATTAATCCATTTCTTTTAGGCTTTCTTGGAGTTCATCTTTTAAATGTCCTCATCAACGAACTTGAGATCTAGAAGAAACTGTAAGGCATGTTCTGATTCCTTTTCCTCATGTTTTATGCTCCCCTACGAACCTTGTCTAACACCGAGCCTTCCAAGTTGCTGCTGGGAAGGACTAAAGTGAGAGTCAGGTTGAAGAAATACCTATAACCCATTTGTTATTATATTTTATCAGGGCTCATCACTGGGCCCTTTGTCAGATGACTGGGCCGTTCTTTAATTTGAAGATAAAGATATTTTTTCACTGCTTTAGAGCTTCCACTCCTATACTAGTACTATTTAAAATTATTTTCCATAAAGGACCAAGCAGTGGGAAAGAAAATTTAAACTCTACAAGAGCTTTTAAACCATTTTATTGAATTTGAAATTAAATAGAGGCCTGGGGAGTTTGTTCTGGGGGCAGTGAACTCAGGAAGCTAAGAATGGCCATGGGTTGCTATAGCAGAAGGGGGAACCAATGGGCCTGCCAGGCACAGAGCGCTTTTTAGAAGACAAGGGAGGCAGGGAGAGAGGTTTTGGAGTCAGGCAATAATTCTTGCCATATTAAACTTTTCCGACTGGATTTCATATCTATAAAATCTTACTATAGGGGAGAAGGATGTAAACTTCTCTCTCTTTAAGGCTGTGAGTCCCTGATGAAAGGGACATCCCAATGATTATGTGATTGAGTTAGGCAACTCCAGCCCAAAAGAACAGCATACCCCTGTTGCTGAAATGCGTTCTGGTAGAGGAGTAGAGAAGGATGAGCTGCAGGGAGACCCTTGTACTTAGTTCAAAGGAGCCAAACCAACTTTCCGATACTGGGCGTCAGGGGGCATCCTTTCCCAGCTGTGTGTCTTGGTAATGATGGGAGTGAGGCCCCCAGTTCCTGAGAGTAGCTGGCCCAAACAGTCTTCTGCTGATGAGGAGAAATGGGATGCTCTTAGGAGCCATGAGTCTCGAGTTAGATTTTCCAAGTTCCCCACTTCCTAGACTTGCCCAACACCCACCTTTGATGTTCCACAGACACTTATATAGTGGTCCTTGCAAATGCATACAGAGATCCCAAAGAAAATTCCACTTACTATTTTTTTCTAGCATAGAGCTTTCAAGTTGAACAAAAAGGCGTATCTCCAGAAAACTGTGGGGAAAAAAAGACCTAGGCAAATGTGTAACAGTTACCAGGAAGCTCCCAGTGGGAAAGAACATGGTCCAAAGTTCATTCCAAAGACTTGAGATGTAAGACTAAACAACCTGCTGATTTTGACCCAAATAAGTAACCCAAGACATATGGTAACAAAAGCTCTATGAAAGAAATTGGCCCACAGCGATCGATTGCTTGACCATTTCCACTGCAATTCATGAACTTATAACATTAGAAACTTTTCATAATGGAGTGTAGGATGTGAGGAAAGAAAAATAAGATGGCAATTTAATCCAAGTAGGGCATATGCTAACTGTTTAAGTGTTGAGAGTTCTAGTTCATGCCTTACACTATTGGTTGGCCTGGTTTTCTAACTTGAAGAAACATATCTGACACAGTGAGAACATTTCAAAAATCTTGGGGAATTTAGAGACAACCCCTAGTCATTCAGTGCTTGACCTTCACTTTTGGAAACCATCTAGTCCTGGCTTTTCTTCCTTCCAACATTTACTCTGTCTTCTTCCCACTCCCCCACTTCCATCCCTATCTCTTTCTGGACCTTTTCACAGCTCATTAGGCAATTTAAATAAAGGGTAGGCAAAGAATATTACAGGAAAAAAATAATAAGTGAAACTCACATTTATGAAACTGATTCAGTAATCCTAGATCTGGAATTGGTATGGATGGGAAGAGTTTGGAATGGAGAGTCTTGGCTAAATATACTATTTTGGTTATTGTCAGTCATCAATCAATCAATGAATCATTATTTGCCTATCAACACCTTGAATCAGTAATGATTTAGTGTTTTGTAATTATAAATATTTTTATGATATTAAGAATGTGCTTTGACTGTCATTTAGGTAGACAATAAGTTCGCCCCCATAATCAGAAGAAGTAATAGCTATTGAATGAATCAAGATAATGAAAATGAATCAAGATAATAATAAATCAAGATAATAAAAATGTACCTGTCCTGCGGTGTCATACAGTCCGAGCAAGTGTTGCTTGCCTCCCACTGTCACGGTAACTAGAGGAGAAGAGAGGAGGAGAGTTCATAAATACAAGCTTCAATCACAGGGCTTCGCATTTCTCCATGCCAATGTTTCCCTGGATGGTGAGGAGAAGCATATGCCTCATCCCTGTCTATTCTAAACCAAGTTGGCAGCATGATTTCCAAATGAAAGACAACCCTGGGCTGCAGTTAGAGCAGATGAGCCGAGCCAAGTCTCAATTTCTCAAATGAGATGAATATTATCGGTGCTGCTAAGGCACTCTGCAGGCTCATCATTGATCCTTATTAGGCCCTAAAATATCAATCTTATGGAGGAAAAGAATACTGAACTTAATCTTGGTTGGGTTATCTTCTCCTTTCATTGGGTTTGAGCCCCCTTTCAAGACATGGAATGGTACAAGCAATTTCTGTTAGAAATCTCCATTTTTTCTGTTTTTGAAATGTTAACAACAAAACAAAGAATATTAACCCACATGCATATTTTTTAATCTCTAAGGCAAAGTAAATAATGAAATGAGATCGGATTCTTTTTATTTTTAAAAGTTTTTAAATTGAATATTCCTGTGCTTTAGCTTAACTGATTCATTGCAGTGTTAAACCTTAGCTGAAAGAGGACATGTTGTTGTATGGGTTCAATTTCACATACCTGAAGGGAGTATATAGAGTGAAAAGGAGAGAGTTTGATTTACAAAGCAGGCTTACTGCTTTGTGAAGCACTTGTATCCAAAAGTGAGAAGTAATAGATGGATGCCAACCACTCTGTACATGTCCGGAAACGAAGTCTCAATTTGAAACTAAACAGAGATTGAACAGATTGAATGTAAGATTAGTACAATTCTCTTGGTGAGTGGAAAGAGCAAGTTTAAATTTCCAAAAAAAATTAATCTTTTTTGGAAAAAGAAGTAAAATAGTAAAGGAGAATGTGTTTTTTCTTAGTTTATTGAAAACTGTGCAAATGCAATGTAAAGCTGATTTTTAAAAATAGACTATTGGTGTGACATTGATTAATAAAATTATATAGGTTTCAGGTGTACAATTCTACAATACATCCTCTCTATATTGTATTGTGTGTTTACCACCCCAAGTCAAGTCAGACTTTTGATGTCTCCTACTATTAGCTGTGCAGGAAATGAAAGATAAACTAAATAAGCAACCTTTAAAATCATATTTTTCAGATATACCAGCCAAATTCTCTAGTCTGCTGCTCAGTTGCTGATTTGATACTGATTTTACTTTTGCTTTCAGGTTCATGGGCTACATGCATGCAAAGTACTTCTTAATGGCTCATTCTTTGCAAAGCACTTGGTTACAAGCATTGTCTCCACAGACACTGGGAACAATTTTTCTGTCTACTCAGATCAGCATGTGTTCAGCTTGGTAACATGGCTTTAGCCATTCAGATGAGCTTTAAATATGTATTTTAAAGTCGTGAACCCAGCTCCATCCAACCTTGGGGACAACGCTGACAGAAGAGGGGGTTTTAAATATTTTTACTTCTTGCAAACGTCAGGCTAGCAATGAAAATGAAGCTCAGACCACGCTGCCTGGGGCTCTTTGGCCTGTTCTATTTTCCTCTTCCTGCACACTTTTGCTTAAGGCCAGCCAGATGTTCCTGAAATCCACCTAAATTTATTTCTATTGTGTTTTTTTCCCTAGCCTAAATTGTTTTCGTGAGCAATTCACTGCCCACGATCAAGGATCGGGAATAAGGGAAAGGAATCTAGCACATGGCATTTTCTGCTTCTAGGGAGCTAGGACACCTGTTCTGGAGACCCGCTTGGACCGTGCCACAACGCACGAGCCCAGAGCTATCTGTGGCATGAGCTCCAGAAGCTGAGTCACCCTCAGGGCTCACTGGGTCCTGCGATCACTCCTAAGCACATGCTCTGACCTTTGTCATTGGAGCCTTAAAGCTCCCGCATGTACTTTCTCAGAGAACACCCTTTCCCTCCACTCTGCTTGTCCACAGGCCACACCCTTTCTCCCTTCGGAGATTTGACTGCAGAGACCTGTACCGGGCCCCGAGGCAGCACCAGTCCAGGAAGGGAGAGTTGTGGGCTGAGAGCCCTCTCTTCTCTCCGACCTTTCTTTCCTCCAGTGTTTATTGAGTTCCAGGACCTTTCAGGACTGGGGAATAGCAAGACTCCGGCCTTGGGGCATGGAGCGGTTTCCTAGCAGGGCCTGGGCAGGTAGACCATCCCTTGGAAACGGGGCGGGGAGGGGGGGATGGAGGGAAACATAGGAGCTCGCAGTCGGGGTCGTACTGTGCGTGTGTTCGCGTGCCTGCTGGGGTGGAGGCGGAGGCGTGGGGACACAGCCGGAGCAGGGGCTGTTGGCGTGCGGTCCGTGCCGGAGGACGTGTCTGAGCCGAGTCCTGAGGATGGCCCAGAACTACCCAGGGTGCCTTGGCAGAAGGGACAAGGGTGGCGCAGGGACCACGTGGGATGTGCTGGGGTAGGTGGGGCGGAATAGGGGGGCATGCAGGGTCGGCCTGTGCTGGCTCACTAGTTTAGTCTTGATTCTGAAGACTTTGTTTAGCAATGAAAGTCTCAAATTCTCCTTTTTCCCCAAGAAAGTGAAAGAAGGAATTAAAATAATGTCCTTGGGTTATGGCAGATGGCGGCAGGAGGGAAGATGGTGTGTTGGGGTGGAAGCCCTCTCGGCCTTCAGCTTTGCAGCGCCCGGAGTGGCTGTCTACTGGGTGTGTTTGGCCAGCTCCGCTGGAGCAGAGCTTGTGGCTTTGTCTCTGGAAATCACTTTTTTACTCCCTGAAAGCTAATTTTATTTTATTTCTTTCTTTTCCTTTATTTTTATTGTTGACACTATGACAGATGCCCCCAGCCATCCCTGCTCCCTTTTCCCCTCCCCCACCCGTCCCCTATACCCCGATCTCTCTGGCCCTCGCTACACTGTTGCCTTGTGTCTGTGAGTTATGCCTGTGTTCCTTGGCTAATCCCTTCACCTCTATTCTCTCATCTCTGCCCTTTCATTTTCCCATTTTATCGGAAAGAAGATAAGCGGATCACACAGTTGATGCTGGAGAACATCTAGGGACAGCCAGAGATGGATCCACTCGGTAATCACAGATTGTGGTTGTCCAAATGGCTTTGTGAGTCCTTATCTTGGACTAGCAGTGGATGTGTTATTGTTGCCAACAGGCTGCTATGTCCTCTGAGGCCTCTCTATTTGGAAGTGAATCAGCCACCACAACACAGAAGGCAGGTGTGCCCTAAAATGCTAATGGTAAATGTAGTGAGGTAGAAAGAGTGGGATCTTCTGAGTCAGATGGTTCTGCTTTACCATCCTATCTGCTGTTCACCTTCTGAGTGACCTTGGGAAAGTCACCTAATATCTCTGAGCCTCTGTTAAAATGGGGATTATATCACCTACCAAAGTGAGTACTTGTGGGGAGGAAATTAAAGAGAAAGTGCCCGGCACACAGCCTGGCCCATAGTGGGTACCGAACGATTGTTACCTTGCCTCCTGCAACAAATGTTTATTGAACCTCTTCTAAGGACCATCTGTCCTGCTCTCTACCGTATACCCCGTGCCCATTAACTGGCACATAGTGGGATCTTAATATTTTTGAATTACTAGTTGCTTTCTACCCTAAGTGATCGTTATTTAGGTCTTTATATTATATCTCCCACTAGACAGGAAGACCCTTGAGGACAGAATTTCCATACCCCATGTCCCACATAGTACAAAGCACAGACCCTGGCAGATGTAGTAGATACTGAGCATACAGCACAGAAATGAAGCACCAGGGGCAACTCAGGCAGAAGAGAGTCCTCCAGAATGTTCAGACCAGCAGCTTGAAGCTCCCTGGCAAGACACTAACTGCTGGGAAGCGCCTGCAGCCAGCAAATCTGCCTGGCAGACAGTGGTCAGGCTAAAATCCCAGATCTCCTTCTATTCTCAGAGCTATTAGAGTTGTTTTCTGAGTTTAGAGAGGTTTTAAAGAGAGTGGGTCAAATGACCTGCTGATGGCTCAGATGGTTCTCTCAGTAAAGTGTGAAAAGTTGTCAGTGACCTGTTAATTATGTAAAACGAAGGCCTTCTTGCCAAGTCCTTTAAACTCTTTGCTTCCTTATATTTCTTCGTGGTGTAGATTGAAGTGGCTCATTTTGTGAGTTGAGGTGAAATCTAAGTCATGGGGTTGATTTCTTGAAGGTCAGTTAATTTCACCCAGAGAGAAGGTGTCCCAGGAGGGAAGACCTAAGCTTTCGCCCCTCCACATTTCAGTCACCTCACAAAACTGTGTGTCATTTGCAAACCTGGATGAGGACATGTTGGTCATTCCCTGTACACCCGCTTATCCTACCCGTCTGGCACTAGGAACCTGGTTCAACGTCCCTTCCTTGATGGGTGGTGGGCTGGCCATCTCAGCTACCAAGAATGGTCTTTTGAAGTTGATGTTGCGAATATATGATGAATCATGGAGACACGAGTGGTGAAAATGTCAGGCCAGTTAGAAGGAAGCCTCCACATGCCCTCGCATTCCCAGCACAGAGCCAGCTGTCTGCATCACTTGTCTCAAGTGTATTCTATGTGGCAGGCAGGGTGAAGCAGACCTGACTGGGTGTGGGCTGTAGTACCATTGAGGGGCTACCTTGGAGGAGGAAGCACTAGATTATAGCATGAGATGGAATTTTAAGAACATTAATAACATGGGTCTCATGTAAATATAGGATGAAGGTATATCAAAGATTTATTAACTCAATAATGAGAGAACCAGTAAGATAATAAATCTTGTTCAAAGAGCATTTTGAAAAAGTGGGCATATATATGAAGGGGGACCCCCAAAACCAGAATTATCTTCTGGAGGGCAGGCCCCTTGTAGTACAGGCTTTCCCCACTAGGTGAGTGTTCTAGGAACCCATCTGTATCAGTGTCCCAGCTGGTGGTGTTGTGAGAGGCTGCATTTGGCTTCAATGAATTTTTTTGAAGACTCCTTTGACACGTTTGCCCATTTCGTGATGAGTGATTTATGAGCTCACCTGCCCACACTGCGC